TCTGATTGTTCAAAGATGTTATTTTTTTATTGTTGTAAAATAATGTGTACCCCAGTCTCCAATAAGACAGTACTGGAAGGGTAGTTTTTCCTCCGTTACCACATAAAAGGGAGTATCTCCTGAAATGAGCAGCTCTCACAGTAGTAAACAGGCCCGGCCACTAACCATAATGCAGTGTGCCTAACAAGAGCTGTGTGAGACTATGTATAAAGGTGTAACAATGTACTATGTCTATACATTTGCAGGTAAGCAGATACAAGAGAGTAAATAACTTGAGCTGTGTTTAAAGATAAGTCAACGGGGTTACAGAGAATGTAGGAAAGTTGTCCGTTAACCCCCTTTATGTGTCATTAGTATATATTCATTGGTAGCAATAACCATGAAGCTAACAATTAGCAGCTAGAGCTAATTCGCCAGTATGAGTTGAAAACTCGTGGCATTGTCGTTTGATCTACACCTGTATCAGCTGTAATCTCAGTGGATGAAGACTGGGTATCACACTATCTGTTGTTTATGTTTATTTTACTTATGTTAGTGTAAGGAGTATTAACGTTTAAGTTTAAAAAACTAACTATAATGCAGTGTGCCTGACAAGAACTGTGTGAGACTGTATAAATGTGTAACGATGTACTATGTCTATAGATTTGCAGACACATTAAAGACAAACTCACAAAGCCACACAGGTTTCAATTCCTTTTAATCCAAATGTGCAACATTACTGACAATACAATTTAATTATTTTATTTATACAAATCACAACAAGAATCACCTCAAGGCACTTTATATTGTAAGGTAAAGACCCGGTAAAGACCGTACAGTAATACATCATGGATACAAGTAACTCATTGGAACATTTTTGTCATTTCTGTAATTTGTGGTCCCTCCTTTCTCGTGCATGTGCACTGGAAATCACTCAAGATAATTGGAGCAATAGGTGCGGTGAAAAAACCACTAACTTTTAGAAGATAACCTGCTCTACCTTCTGAGCCACAGCCCCAAGTTTACCAAAGGTACTGGTGTGTAGGTATGCTGGAGCCCAAACATTTGTATGTTTGCTGCAGAACAGCTGGAAACATCTACACCTATGACAACAAATAAATCAGTTTTTGTATTTTATTTTATAACTATGTTTGTTGTGCATTGCACTGAACTACTAACCAAGTGAAATAGCCTCATATACTGAAACACACTTTACAGTCGCAGCTTGCCGTTATTTTTAAATTATTTTAAATTGTTAAAATATTCACTGTCAATCATCAATAGTTTTGGACCGTAAAGCAGGCGCAAATAGGACACCGGAAACAGGAGTTTCCTCACCGGAAGTAGCATATGCTAACGTGCACATAGTCAATATTGGCGGGGTTTGTGCATTGTTTTGGTGATTTTGTTCGGGAGAAAGCGAAACAAGTGTACGACATGATTAGAGACAAGAGAGGACGCGTTGTTAAATTGTTTTAAAAAAAAGTATACGGCCAACCTATTATTAGAGGTTGTTATACATTATTATTATTATTATTATTATTATTATTATTATTATTATTATTATTACTATTTAAAAAATCAATACGACACAAGCAAAGAGAGAACACAGCATGGCACATGTTTAAATAAAATTATTAATTCATCAAATAGATATAACATTTTTATCCAAAAAATGCTTGTTCAAAGCCCCACAACAGTACCCTGATGTCTCACAGAAATGCCACATCATATCAAACAGAAGCTTGCAACTCAGCTCTGCAGAGTGGACAATCATAACGAAACAGTTTATTTCCAGTTTTAGATTCAAGCTGCTTTTTACACTTTTGGCCACCAGATGTCACCAAAGAGGACTGTGTTGAAAAGTTTGGAGTAATGAACCTTTTTTCAATTACAAGAAAAGCTTCATTTGGTCATCACTACTCTTAAGGAAGTTGCAAGTCCACAGGATGTGTTACATTGTATGGGCAGGATGATCATACATGCATTATAACAAAAGTACGTAGTGAAAAGTAGCATTGGGCTCACATTATAAAAAAAATATATTGATGATCATTTTGAAAAGATGATTTTCTTTTTTAATTTTCTTTCATTTTTAATCAATTTCTTTCCTGTATTGAAAGATCATAAGATGGAGGATAAGCTCGGTAGTTTCACTTTCTTTTGCAGACAAGATGGAGGATGAGCTCAGTAGTCTAATTGGTTTCACTTTTAATTTTACACATGATGGAGGAGTGTTTGAAGAGTGCAGTTGTAAAATCAAATATAAGCTCTGGTTCACGTCCAGTCTTAGTCACAGCTTTGAGGTTTGTTCGTAATCAGTCTGCTGTAGGATCTTCAAGTTTCTGATGGCTTTCTTACAGACATGCGTGGATCTAGAGAAATTATCTTAGGGATATCAAATTGGATATCAAATCAATTATGTATGGTTAAAATGCATCAGACACGCACACATTTCACATAAATAAAGTCTATAACTTAATTTTGTTTAGCGCAGATAAATTTAATTAATTAACATTTAATTAATTAATTAATGGTTTCAGTTACATTTCGTAAACTGAAAAAAAATAATAATATTGCACAATCTATGGATATAGTGGGTGCATGTCACTGAGACAACAAGAGACAAAATGATGGCGGAGCGTTTACGAATGTAATTTGAAACTGTGAACAAATGTAAAGGATTCTTTCTGCATCATGAGTCCAGGCTGGTCTTCCTTAGATTAGATTGGGACAATAAATCTATGAGAAGGTCTCTTCTGATATCATTATTCTGATATATGTAGTCCTTCCAACACGCATCACTTCTAATCCCTGCCATGAATTTATCATATGTAATAGTGATTCTAATTTTCGACATTTTGATCTTTTCTACCAGCTCAACAGTTCTGTCACCACACACACACACACACACACACACACACACACACACACACACACACACACACACACACACCAGTTTCTGTGTGGTTTGGATCACAATCTGTATGTCTGTTGGCCAAAGATGCAACAGGGTGAAACATGTGAATGTGTGATGATTTTCAGAGATGAAGAACAGGAACAGAGATCAGAAAACAAGAGGGAGATTACTTCCAATGATAAAGACTGCTGATCATGTGATTTTTGATAAAGAAATAAAGAAATTTGATCAAGGCTCTGTGTATAATGGACATTTTTCTGGTTTTATTTTGTTGAATTATTTGTTGTTGCTCATGACAAACTTTACAAGAAACATTCAAAAGTTACAAATGGAAACAAAAAAGTATGAAAAAAACAACATTGATGAAGACCATTACAATACTGATAATACAATAATAAAATGACTTGGCTTCAAAGCAACAAATATGTAATAAGCTTTGTGATACAGATTTATAGAAATTAATATCTGACTCTGCAACTATAAAGTTTGAGTTTATTGCCCAGAACACTTTGTAAACTGTAAAATTTGATAAACCGGCTTCACTTAAAAACATCCACAAACTTATTTATTCAGTTAAAAAGTAACATCATCTAAAGGTGAAGAATAGAAAGAAGGAAAAGACCCAAAAACTCAATATATGCCAACGGAAAAAAGCTCTACCTAATTTTATGTTACAAAATGTTTTTGAGATGTCTTTCAACTGTAGCAGATCAGCGCATCCTTCACACTCCGATTATTGATTCCCTTTAATTCACAGTATTTGCTATGTTGTTCAGATTATTTTATACAGTGTTTGTCATGTCATTTGATTTAGTCAGTGACTCTAATTATTCTGTAACAGCAGATCTCTACCTGAGCAACAGTTTGTGCAGCTCAATCCTCGCAGAACAGCTTTGATCTTACAAACAGCTGCTGAACAGAAAGATGAAACAAATATACTCCATGTGTATATAATATTTTACAAAAATGTAAAATCTTGTACATTGAATTCTTGCACAGTGTAAAGAAGCTGTACTGTAACACTAATTTAAGTTGATGTTAAGTTTGTAATACTGTTTTAAATGGTGTTAATTAATCCTGTGAAAAATGAATGAAGATGAACAAACACTGTAGATCACAGAGTCGCTGACAGAGAGCTCAGAGAGACAAACTAACATAGTCTGAACAGGTTTGATGAAATGAAAAATTAAGTCTTGTAAAACTTTCTCATAACCCTCTCTAATAAATGTACATACACAATGTAACGAGTTAGCCTACTTATACAGTACATGCTTTCATAAACAACATATGTGAGGATTATCTGGACTTTTTGGTAAAAGTTGGATCTTGTTTCTAAACCAACTATTTGTGAAGAAGTAAATTTCCTTCTAGTTTCTCATTCGCTGGTGAAATTCAGTTCAACAGGGCTGGAGTCGATTGCAGCTGTCACTGAGTATGAGGTTTAGTACACCAGGACAGGACCAACAGTAAACATTAATACATAGAGTTAATGTTTGTTGTCTATGAATTCTGATTTTATTGTTTAATGATAACTTTGATGAACTTAAGGTTAAATAGCAATTCATCATTTATTAATAATGGTTATTACAAAGTGTTACCTGAAACTAAATTCGGAACATATTTGAACGCCAAAGCTGAATCTCACTTTCTTTCCACATTCTAAAAGTCAACACTAATGGTTTGAAATAGCAGCAGGAGTCTCACAGTTATCTGTACGAAGCCCTGAGACGCCTGAAGCAGGCTGGTGTCCAACAGAATACTGTCCCTTTTCTATCTTTTTTTTCTGTAGATCAAGAAAGCAATAACAGCAGCAACAAGAAGCACATCAATACAACAGGTAAATCCTCCTTCTTTACTCCATTCGTCTTCCCTCCATCTTTGTCGTCTTCATCCTTCTCTTGTCCTCTTGTCTGACCTGCAGGTGAGAAACAGGTGTGAGGTGTCAGCTGTCAGGTAGGTCAAATCAAATCAAATCACTTTTATTGTCACATCACATGTGCAGGTACATTGGTAAAGTACATGTGAGTGAAATTCTTGTGTGCGAGCTTCACAAGCAACAGAGTTGTGCAAAATACAA